CCGCTTTCAATCACCCCGCCCCATTCTCCCGCTTTTCATCACCCCGCCCCATTCTCCCGCTTTCCATCACCCGGCCCCATTCTCCCGCTTTCCATCACCCCGCCCCATTCTCTCCCACTTTCAATCACCCCGCCGCCATCCTCCCGCTTCCATCACCCGGCCACACCTCTCCCGCTTTCCATCACCCCCGCCCCCATTCTCCCACTTTCCATCACCCCGCCCCATTCTCCCGCTTTCCATCACCCCGCCCCATTCTCCCGCTTTCCATCACCCCGCCCCATTCTCCCACTTTCCATCACCCCGCCCCATTCTCCCGCTTTCAATCACCCCGCCCCATTCTCGCGCTTTCCATCACCCTGCCCCATCCTCCCTCCTTCCATCACCCCGCCCCATTCTCCCGCTTTCCATCACCCCGCCCCATTCACCCGCTTTCCATCACCCCGCCCCATTCTCCCGCTTTCCATCACCCCGCCCCATTCTCACACTTTCTATCACCCCGCCCCATTCTCCCGCTTTCCATCACCCCACCCCATTCTCCCGCTATAAATCACCCCGCCCCATTCTCCATCTTTCCACCACCTCGCCCCATTCTCCCGCTTTCCATCACCCAGCCCCATTCTCCCGCTTTTAATCACCCCGCCCCATTCTCCCACTTTCAATCACCCCGCCCCATTCTCCCTCCCTCCATCACCCCGCCCCATTCTCCTGCTGTCCATCACACTGCCCCATTCTCCCGCTTTTCATCACCCTGCCCCATTCTCCCTCCCTCCATCACCCCGCCCCATTCTCTTGCTGTCCATCACCCCGCCCCATTCTCCCGCTTTCCATCACCCCGCCCCATTCTCCCGCTTTCTGTCACCCCGCCCCATTTTTCCGCTTTCCATCACCCCGCCCCATTCTCCCGTTTTCCATCAACCCGCCCCATTCTCATGTTTTCCATCACCGCGCCCTATTCTCCCGCTTTCCATCACCCCGCCCCATTCTCCCGCTATCCATCACCCCGCCCCATTCTCCCGTTTTCCATAGACCCGCCCCATTCTCCCGCTCTCCATCACCCCGCCCCATTCTCCCGCTTTCCATCACCCCGCCCCATTCTCCCGCTTTCCATCACCCCGCCCCATTCTCCCGCTTTCCATCACCCCGCCCCATTCTCCCGCTTTCTGTCACCCCACCCCGTTCTCTCGCTTTCTGTCACTGCGCCCCATTCTCACTCCTTCCATCACTCTGCCCCATCCCCCCTCCTTCCATCACCCCACCCCATCCTCCCTCCTTCCATCACCCTGCCCCATTCACCCGCTTTCTATCACCCCGCCCCATTCTCCCGCTTTCCATCACCCCGCCCCATTCTCCCGCTTTCCATCACCCCGCCCCATTCTCCCGATTTCCATCACCCCACCCCATTCTCCCGCTTTCCATCACCCCGCCCCATTCTCCCGCTTTCCATCACCCCACCCCATTCTCCCGCTTTCCATCACCCCGCCCCATTCTCCCGCTATCAATCACCCCGCCCCATTCTCCCGCTTTCCATCACCCCGCCCCATTCTCCCGCTTTCCATCAGCCCGCCCAATTCTCCCGCTTTCAATCACCCCGCCCCGTTCTCCCGCTTTCAATCACCCCGCCCCATTCTCCCGCTTTCCATCACCCCGCCCCATTCTCCCTCCCTCCATCACCCCGCCCCATTCTCCTGCTGTCCATCACATCGCCCCATTCTCCCGCTTTCCATCACCCCGCCCCGTTCTCCCTCCTTCCATCACCCCGCCCCTCTCTCCCCCCTTCCATCACCCCGCCCCATTCTCCCGCTTTCCATCACCCCGCCCCATTCTCCCGCTATCCATCACCCCGCCCCATTCTCCCGTTTTCCATCAACCCGCCCCATTCTCCCGCTTTCCATCACCCCGCCCCATTCTCCCGCTTTCCATCACCCCTCCCCATTCTCCCGTTTTCCATCACCCCGCCCCATTCTCCCGCTATCCATCACCCCGCCCCATTCTCCCTCTTTCCATCACCCTGCCCCATTCTCCCGCTTTCCATCACCCCGCCCCATTCTCCCGCTTTCAATCACCCCGCCCCATTCTCCCGCTTTCCATCACCCCGCCCCATTCTCCCGCTTTCTGTCACCCCACCCCGTTCTCTCGCTTTCTGTCACTGTGCCCCATTCTCACTCCTTCCATCACTCTGCCCCATCCCCCCTCCTTCCATCACCCCGCCCCATCCTCCCTCCTTCCATCACCCTGCCCCATTCACCCGCTTTCCATCACCCCGCCCCATTCACCCACTTTCCATCACCCCGCCCCATTCTCCCGCTTTCCATCACCCCGCCCCATTCTCCCGCTTTCCATCACCCCGCCCCATTCTCCCAGTATCAATCAGCCCGCCCCATTCTCCCGCTTTCAATCACCCCGCCCCATTCTCCCGCTTTCCATCACCCCGCCCCATTCTCCCGCTTTCCATCACCCCGCCCCATTCTCCCGCTTTCCATCACCCTGCCCCATTCTCCCGCATTCCATCACCCTGCCCCATTCTCCCGCTTTCCATCACCCCGCCCCATTCTCCCGCTTTCCATCACCCCGCCCCATTCTCCCGCTTTCCATAACCCCGCCCCATTCTCCAGCTATCAATCACCCCGCCCCATTCTCCCGCTTTCCATCACCCCGCCCCATTCTCCCGTTTTCCATCACCCCGCCCCATTCTCCCGCTTTCCATCACCCCGCCCCATTCTCCCGCTTTCTGTCACCCCGCCCCATTCTCCCGCTTTCTGTCACTGCGCCCCATTCTCCCTCCTTCCATCACTCTGCCCCATCCCCCCTCCTTCCATCACCCCGCCCCATCCTCCCTCCTTCCATCACCCTGCCTCATTCACCCGCTTTCCATCACCCCGCCCCATTCACCCGCTTTCCATCACCCCGCCCCATTCTCCCGCTTTCCATAACCCCGCCCCATTCTCCAGCTATCAATCATCCCGCCCCATTCTCTCGCTTTCCATCACCCCGCCCCATTCTCCCGCTTTCCATCACCCCGCCCCATTCTCCTGCTTTCCATAACCCCGCCCCATTCTCCCGCTTTCTATCACCCCGCCCCATTCTCCCGCTATCAATCACCCCGCCCCATTCTCCCGCTTTCCATCACCCCGCCCCATTCTCCCGCTTTCCATCACCCCGCCCTTTTCTCCCGCTTTCCATCACCCCGCCCTTTTCTCCCGCTTTCCATCACCCCGCCCCATTCTCCCGTTTTCCATCTCCCCGCCCCATCTCCCGCTTTCCATCACCCCGCCCCATTCTCCCGCTTTCTATCACCCCGCCCCATTCTCCCGCTTTCAATCACCCCGCCCCATTCTCCCGCTTTCCATCACCCCGCCCCATTCTCCCGCTTTCTGTCACCCCGCCCCATTCTCCCGCTTTCTGTCACCCCGCCCCATTCTCCCTCCTTCCATCACCCCGCCCCATCCTCCCTCCTTTCATCACCCTGCCCCATTCACCCGCTTTCCATCACCCCGCCCCATCCTCCCTCCTTCCATCACCCTGCCCCATTCTCCCGCTTTCCATCACCCCGCCCCATTCTCCCGCTTTCCATCACCCCGCCCCATTCTCCTGCTTTCCAACACCTCGCCCCATTCTCCCGCTTTCCATCACCCCGCCTCATTCTCCCGTTTTCCATCTCCCCGCCCCATTCTCCCGCTTTCCATCACCCCGCCCCATTCTCCCGCTTTCCATCACCCCGCCCCATTCTCCCGCTTTCAATCACCCCGCCCCATTCTCCCGCTTTCCATCACCCCGCCCCATTCTCCCGCTTTCTGTCACCCCTCCCTATTCTCCCGCTTTCTGTCACTGCGCCCCATTCTCCCTCCTTCCATGACTCTGCCCCATCCCCCCTCCTTCCATCACCCCGCCCCATCCTCCCTCCTTCCATCACCCTGCCCCATTCACCCGCTTTCCATCACCCTGCCCCATTCACCCGCTTTCCATCACCCCGCCCCATTCTCCCGCTTTCCATCACCCCGCCCCATTCTCCCGCTTTCCATCACCCCGCCCCATTCTCCTGCTTTCCATCACCTCGCCCCATTCTCCCGCTATCAATCACCCCGCCCCATTCTCCCGCTTTCCATCACCCCGCCCCATTCTCCCGCTTTCCATCACCCCGCCCCATTCTCCCGCTTTCCATCACCCTGCCCCATTCTCCCGCTTTCCATCACCCCGCCCCATTCTCCCGCTTTCCATCACCCCGCCCCATTCTCCCGCTTTCCATCACCCCGCCCCATTCTCCCGCTTTCCATAACCCCGCCATATTCTCCCGCTATCAATCACCCCGCCCCATTCTCCCGCTTTCCATCACCCCGCCCCATTCTCCTGCTTTCCATTACCCCGCCCCATTCTCCCGCTTTCAATCACCCCGCCCCATTCTCCCGCTTTCAATCACCCCGCCCCTTTCTCCCGCTTTCCATCACCCCGCCCCATTCTCCCGCTTTCCATCACACCGCCCCATTCTCTCGCTTTCCATCACCCCGCCCCATTCTCCCTCCTTCCATCACCTCGCCCCATTCTCCCGCTTTCCATCACCCCGCCCCATTCTCCCGCTTTCCATCACCCCGCCCCATTCTCCCGCTTTCCATCACCCCGCCCCATTCTTCCACTTTCCATCACCCCGCCCCATTCTCCCGCTTTTTATCACCCCGCCCCATTCTTCTGCTTTTCATCACCCCGCCCCATTCTCCCGCTTTCCATAACCCCGCCCCATTCTTCCTCCTTCCATCACCCCGCCCCTCTCTCCCCCCTTCCATCACCCCGCCCCATTCTCCGGCTTTCCATCACCCCGCCCCATTCTCCCGCTTTCCATCACCCCGCCCCATTTTCCCTCCTTCCATCACCCCGCCCCATTTTCCCTCTTTCCATCACCCCGCCCCATTTCCATCACCCCGCCCTATTCTCCCGCTTTCCATTACCCCGCCCCATTCTCCCGCTTTCCATCACCCCGCCCCATTCTCCCGTTTTCCATCACCCTGACCCATTCTCCCGCTTTCCATCACCCCGCCCCATTCTCCCGCTTTCCATCACCCGGCCCCATTCTCCCGCTTTCCATCACCCCGCCCCATTCTCCCTCCCTCGATCACCCCGCCCCATTCTCCTGCTGTCCATCACACCGCCCTTTTCTCCTGCTTTCCATCACCCCGCCCCATTCTCCCGCTTTCTATCACCCCGCCAAATTCTCCCGCTTTCCATCACCCCGCCCCATTCTCCCTCCTTCCATCACCCCGCCCAATTCTCCCGCTTTCCATCACCCCGCCCCATTCTCCCTCCTTCCATCACCCCGCCCAATTCTCCCGCTTTCCTTCACCCCGCCCCATTCTCCCTCCTTCCATCACCCCGCCCAATTCTCCCGCTTTCCATTACCCCGCCCCATTCTCCCGCTTTCCATCACCCCGCTCCATTCTCCCGCTTTCCATCACCCCGCCCCCTTCTCCCACTTTCCATTACCCCGCCTCATTCTCCCGCTTTCAATCACCCCGCTCCATTCTCCCGATTTCCATCACCGCGCCCCATTCTCCCGCTTTCCATCACCCCGCCCAATTCTCCCGCTTTCCATCACCCCGCCCCATTCTCCCGCTTTCCATCACCCCGCCCCGTTCTCCCTCCTTCCATCGCCCCACCCCTCTCTCCCCCCTTCCATCACCCCGCCCCATTCTCCCGCTTTCCATCACCCCGCCCCATTCTCCCGCTTTCCATCACCCCGCCCCATTCTCCCTCCTTCCATCACCCCGCCCCATTCTCCCTCCTTCCATCATCCCGCCCTATTCTCCCGCTTTCCATCACCCCGCCCCATTCTCCCGTTTTCCATCACCCTGCCCCATTCTCCCACTTTCCATCACCCCGCCCCATTCTCCCGCTTTCCATCACCCCGCCCCATTCTCCCTCCCTCCATCACCCCGCCCCATTCTCCTGCTGTCCATCACCCCGCCCCATTCTCCCGCTTTCCATCACCCCGCCCCATTCTCCCGCTTTCCATCACCCCGCCAAATTCTCCCGCTTTCCATCACCCCGCCCTATTCTCCTGCTTTCCATCACCCTGCACCATTCTCCCTCCTTCCATCACCCCGCCCCATTCTCCCGCTTTCCATCACCCCGCCCCATTCTCCCGCTTTCCATCACCCCGCCCCATTCTCCCGCTTTCCATCACCCCGCCCCATTCTCCCGCTTTCCATCACCCCGCCCCATTCTCCCGCTTTCCATCACCCCACCCCATTCTCCCGCTTTCAATGACCCCGCCCCATTCTCCCTCTTTCCATCACCCCGCCCCGTTCTCCCGCTTTCCATCACCCCGCCCCATTCTCCCGCTTTCCATCACCCCGCCCCATTCTCCCGCTTTCCATCACCCCGCCCCTTTCTCTTGCTTTCAATCACCCCGCCCCATTCTCCCGCTTTCCATCACCCCGCCCCATTCTCTCGCTTTCAATCACCCCGCCCCATTGTCCCGCTTTCCATCACCCCGCCTCATTCTCCCGCTTTCCATCACCCCGCCCCGTTCTCCCACTTTCCATCACCCCGCCCCTCTCTCCCCCCTTCCATCACCCCACCCCATTCTCCCGCTTTCAATCACCTCGCCCCATTCTCCCGCTTTCCATCACCCCGCCCCATTCTCCCGCTTTCCATCACCCCGCCCCATTCTCCTGCTTTCCATCACCCTGCCCCATTCTCCCGCATTCCATCACCCTACCCCATTCTCCCGCTTTCCATCACCCCGCCCCATTCTCCCACTTTCCATCACCCCGCCCCATTCTCCCGCTTTCCATCACCCCGCCCCATTCTCTCGCTTTCCATCACCCCGCCCCATTCTCCCGCTTTCCATCACCCCGCCCCATTCTCCCGCTTTCCATCACCCCGCCCCATTCTCCCGCTTTCCATCACCCCGCCCCATTCTCCCGCTTTCCATCACCCCGCCCCATTCTCCCGTTTTCCATCACCCCGCCCCATTCTCCCGCTTTCCATCACCCCGCCCCATTCTCCCACTTTCCATCACCCCGCCCTTTTCTCCCGCTTTCCATCACCCCGCCTCATTCTCCCGTTTTCCATCTCCCCGCCCCATTCTCCCGATTTCAATCACCCCGCCCCATTCTCCCGCTTTCCATCACCTCGCCCCATTCTCCCGCTTTCTATCACCCCGCCCCATTCTCCGGCTTTCTCTCACTGCGCCCCATTCTCCCTCCTTCCATCACCCTGCCCCATCCTCCCTCCTTCCATCACCCTGCCCCATTCACCCGCTTTCCGTCACCCCGCCCCATTCTCCCGCTATCAATCACCCCGCCCCATTCTCCCGCTTTCCATCACCCCGCCCCATTCTCCCGCTTTCCATCACCCCGCCCCATTCTCCCGCTTTCCATCACCCTGCCCCATTCTCCCGCTTTCCATCACCCTGCCCCATTCTCCCGCTTTCCATCACCCCGCCCCATTCTCCCGCTTTCCATCACCCCGCCCCATTCTCCCGCTTTCCATAACCCCGCCCCATTCTCCAGCTATCAATCACCCCGCCCCATTCTCCCGCTTTCCATCACCCCGCCCCATTCTCCCGTTTTCCATCACCCCGCCCCATTCTCCCGCTTTCCATCACCCCGCCCCATTCTCCCACTTTCCATCACCCCGCCCTTTTCTCCCGCTTTCCATCACCCCGCCTCATTCTCCCGTTTTCCATCTCCCCGCCCCATTCTCCCGCTTTCAATCACCCCGCCCCATTCTCCCGCTTTCCATCACCCCGCCCCATTCTCCCGCTTTCTGTCACCCCGCCCCATTCTCCGGCTTTCTGTCACTGCGCCCCATTCTCCCTCCTTCCATCACCCTGCCCCATCCTCCCTCCTTCCATCACCCTGCCCCATTCACCCGCTTTCCATCACCCCGCCCCATTCTCCCGCTATCAATCACCCCGCCCCATTCTCCCGCTTTCCATAACCTCGCCCCATTCTCCCGCTTTCCATCACCCCGCCCCATTCTCCCGCTTTCCATCACCCTGCCCCATTCTCCCGCTTTCCATCACCCCGCCTCATTCTCCTGCTTTCCATCACCCCGCCCCATTCTCCCGCTTTCCATCACCCCGCCCCATTCTCCCGCTTTCCATAACCCCGCCCCATTCTCCTACTGTCCATCATCCCGCCCCATCCTTCCGCTTTCCATCACCCCGCCCCATTCTCCCGCTTTCCATCAACCCGCCCCATTCTCCCGCTTTCCATCACCCCGCCCCATTCTCCCGCTATTAATCACCCCGCCCCATTCTCCCGCTTTCCATCACCCCGCCCCATTCTCCCGCTTTCAATCACCCCGCCCTATTCTCCCGCTTTCAATCACCCCGCCCCATTCTCCCGCTTTCCATCACCCCGCCCCATTCTCCCTCCCTCCATCACCCCGCCCCATTCTCCCGCTTTCCATCACACCGCCCCATTCTCTCGCTTTCCATCACCCCGCCCCATTCTCCCGCTTTCCATCACCCCGCCCCATTCTCCCTCCCTCCATCACCCCGCCCCATTCTCCCGCTTTCCATCACCCCGCCCCATTCTTCCGGTTTCCATCACCCCGCCCCATTCTCCTGCTTTCCATCACCCCGCCCCATTCTCCCTCCTTCCATCACCCCGCCCCATTCTCCCGCTTTTTATCACCCCGCCCCATTCTTCCGCTTTTCATCACCCCGCCCCATTCTCCCGCTTTCCATAACCCCGCCCCATTCTCCCTCCTTCCATCACCCAGCCCCTCTCTCCCCCCTTCCATCACCCCGCCCCATTCTCCGGCTTTCCATCACCCCGCCCCATTCTCCCGCTTTCCATCACCCCGCCCCATTTTCCCTCCTTCCATCACCCCGCCCCATTTTCCCTCTTTCCATCACCCCGCCCCATTTCCATCACCCCGCCCCATTCTCCCGCTTTCCATCACCCCGCCCCATTCTCCCGCTTTCCATCACCCCGCCCTTTTCTCCCGCTTTCCATCACCCCGCCCCGTTCTCCCGCTTTCCATCACCCCGCCCCATTCTCCCGCTTTCCATCACCCGGCCCCATTCTCCCGCTTTCCATCACACCGTCCCATTCTCCCGCTTTCCATAACCTCGCCCCATTCTCCCGCTTTCCATCACCCCGCCCCATTCTCCCGCTTTCCATCACCCCGCCCCATTCTTCCGCTTTCCATCAGCCCGCCCCATTCTTCCGCTTTCCATCACCCCGCCCCATTCTCCTGCTTTCCATCACCCCGCCCCATTCTCCCTCCTTCCATCACCCCGCCCCATTCTCCCGCTTTCCATCACCCCGCCCCATTCTCTCGCTTTCCATCACCCCGCCCCATTCTCCCGCTTTCCATAACCCCGCCCCATTCTCCCGCTATCAATCACCCCGCCCCATTCTCCTGCTTTCCATCACCCCGCCCCATTCTCCTGCTTTCCATTACCCCGCCCCATTCTCCCGCTTTCCATCACCCCGCCCCATTCTCCCGCTTTCAATCACCCCGCCCCATTCTCCCGCTTTCCATCACCCCGCCCCATTCTCCCTCCCTCCATCACCCCGCCCCATTCTCCTACTGTCCATCACCCCGCCCCATCCTTCCGCTTTCCATCACCCCGCCCCATTCTCCCGCTTTCCATCAACCCGCCCCATTCTCCCGCTTTCCATCACCCCGCCCCATTCTCCCGCTATTAATCACCCCGCCCCATTCTCCCGCTTTCCATCACCCCGCCCCATTCTCCCGCTTTCAATCACCCCGC